CCTGCCTGTCCCAACCCCTTTTTCTGCTTTCAGACATGATGCTGGTGACCAACAACCCCTATGACTATGCCTTCATCTCCCAAGGAGAGACCACAGTTCCATCCATTGATGATGGAGAGGAGCTCCTGGCCACAGATGTGAGATGGGAGGCCATCAGGTAGTGTCTATGTGTCTCTGTTGGCTGGAGAAGACTTGAACACATTTTTGCCCCACAGAGTGCCTTTGATGTCCTGGGATTCACTCCAGAGGAGAAGAACTCCATCTATAAACTGACAGGAGCCATCATGCACTTTGGCAACATGAAGTTCAAGCAGAAACAACGGGAAGAGCAGGCAGAACCAGATGGCACAGAAGGTTGGGTCTAACCAAGGTTGAGGTGGAAACTGGGGTGAACTCCATGATCCTTCCAGGTTCATATTTTCACTTCTTCATCCTCAGAGGCAGACAAGTCAGCTTACCTAATGGGGCTGAACTCAGCTGATCTTCTCAAGGGGTTGTGCCACCCTCGGGTCAAGGTGGGCAATGAGTATGTCACCAAGGGGCAGAATGTCCAGCAGGTGAGTAGGACATCCCCAGAATGTCCTCCTTTTGGTGTGATATGGTGTCATCTTCAGCAAGAAGAACACCAAGAGGCCCTCTCACTGGTGGGGCATCCTTCTTCCAGGTGATTTATGCTGTCGGAGCCTTGGCCAAAGCCGTGTATGAAAAGATGTTCAACTGGATGGTGACCAGGATCAACAATTCACTGGAGACCAAGCCCAGGAGCAAGACAACCTGGCTGACGCTGAGGAGCGCTGTGACCAGCTGATCAAGAACAAGATCCAGCTGGAAGCCAAGGTGAAAGAGATGACTGAGCGGATGGAGGATGAGGAGGAGATGAATGCAGAGTTGACAGCAAAGAAAAGGAAGCTGGAGGATGAATGCTCAGAGCTGAAGAAAGATATTGATGACCTGGAGTTGTCATTGGCCAAAGTGGAAAAGGAGAAACACGCCACTGAGAACAAGGTGAGGGTGGGGAGATGTCTTGACCTCAGATTGTGGGGAACTGAGCTGACCAAAGCCAACATGAATAGAGTCTGGTGAAGACCCAAGGCTGGTTGGGTTGGGTTGCCAAGAATCAAGGCTGTTTGGGCTGTCAAATTCAAGGCTGGATGAGTTGGCTCATAAGGACCCAAAACTGCTTGGGTTGGATTGTGATAATGCAAGACTGGTTGGATTGCAATAATGCAAGACTGGTTGGATTGCATCACCAAGAACCAAGGCTGGTTGTGTTTTCCTACATCTCCTGACTTAGACCCAGCTTCACAAAGAGCAAGAACAGCCTCCTGTCTCTTGTCCTACCTCCGGTACCAAGCTGGAGGCCTGATATTTCTCCTCCTGCAGGTCAAGAACCTCACAGAGGAGATGGCCGGGCTGGATGAGATCATTGTCAAGTTAACGAAGGAGAAGAAGGCCCTGCAAGAATCTCATCAGCAAGCTCTGGATGACCTGCAGGCAGAGGAAGACAAGGTCAACACCTTGACAAAAGCCAAAGTCAAGCTGGAACAGCAAGTGGATGATGTGAGTATAGGTCACTCCCTTGACAGGCACATAGCTGGTCCCTTGGGGTGTGGAAGTCCTTCTGGAGTGTGTGTTTGTGGGGGCTGATGGGTGTGTCTCTTCCTCACTTACAGCTGGAGAGTTCACTGGAGCAAGAGAAGAAGATCCGGATGGACCTGGAACGGGCCAAAAGGAAGCTGGAAGGTGACTTGAAGTTGGCTCAGGAGAATATCATGGACTTGGAGAATGACAAGCAGCAGTTGGATGAGAGGCTGAAAAAGTAAGGGCCTGCACCCTTTCTTGTCCTTTACCTATAACACCTCTGCTGAGCACTCAGAAGAATGACTTACTGGTGTTTCTCCCCTCACCTAGGAAAGACTTTGAGCTCAATGCCCTCAACGCCAGAATTGAGGATGAGCAAGCAGTTGCAGCACAGCTCCAGAAGAAGCTCAAAGAACTTCAGGTGAGGTGGGCTTCAGCTTGGGGGTCCTCTCCATTATCTTCTTCATATCATTTTGAGAACAACCTAAACTAGTATGCCACCCACCTGAGGTCAGAAGCCCAAGACATATCCCTTGTCACAGAACCTGTAATTTATTGCCTTGAAATGACTCATGGGCTCCTGGACAGGTTGGCTCTCATGGGGGTTGAGCTGAAACAATGGGTTAGGAGTACTCAAGGTATGGGGAGCATCTTGGGTAGAATCCTCTGAGCTGAGCAGACCACCCAGGTTGAATCACATTCATTCCAATGTCCTTAGAGAAATTTGTGCTGAGTTGTCTGTTAGTCCAATTAGATGACCAACTGGAATGCCCTCAAGACCAGTTGAGTTGAAGAATCTTAAGGTAATTTGAGAAGGTGGAGTGTCTTCAAATAAAGCCAGGTTGATCTGGAGAGCTCAGAACTTGGCTAGATTGAAAAGAACTGGATGGGATTGAGACTGGTTGAGGTGAAGGCTCTACAGCTCTCTGGGTTGAGCTGAAGAGTCTAAAGCTGGTTAGGTTGACTTGAATTGACTTAAAGATTCTGCAGCTTGATTGACTGAGTTGAGTGCAGGAGTTGGGTGAAACCACGTCAGCTGAAAACTTGTTCATCCCTGGAGCATAGGCGCGGATTGAGGAGCTGGAGGAGGAGTTGGA